AGCAGAACCATGCTCAGTGTCAAGAGCCATCTGCCAAAGCCGACTGGGGTTTAAGGAGATGGAGGCAGTTAATGACATAAATTAAACAAGTTATTTGGCGCTTGGGCCCTGGCAGAAGACTTTAATGCTGTGAATCAACATTTGCTTGGATGAGTAACCCAGGAAAAGAATTAGAGTAGTCTTTCCCCCTGAAGGCCTAGATACTGGTGGTAGAAAAAGCCAAAGGGTGAGTTGGATTGAAAATAATCTGAGTGAGGGAGGACATGGGGTGAAGGGATTCGAAAGTTAGCTTGCGTACAGGAGCGAGAGGCTAGGCCAGGAACTAAATAAAAGGGATTGTGAAAGATGATTGGCTTCGGAGAAGCCAAGTTGATTGGCTGGAGCTCATCAGTGGACATCACAGATGGTTCAGGTGACGTTGATAATAGTCTTCCAGATTGAATTTTTGCTTAAGCTTAATTAGTTTGATATAATATTGTAATTTTCTGAGAAAGTGAATATTGCGATTTCATTAGCTGTAGGCAAGAATTATCTTAAGCTAACTGAAACAAAAGCTGAAAACGTTTTCCAAATCACTGAGTCTAATGAACGTTTTCAATATACACCTACCCACCCATATACACCCCACCCACCTACACTTTACTAAGCTTACCTGTCTATCTGCTCGTTAACACAAATTTCAATTTAGCCATTCACATGGCAGCAACTAAATGCATATAGGCATCTAGACATGGTCAAGGAGATCTGCTGCAGTTCAAATCGAGAATCATATTGGGGAAGAAAAGTGAATTAAGGGACTTTGAATGCAGCATGGTTCCAAACGGGCTGTTTGGAGTATTTTAGAAACATCTGATCTACTGGGATTTGCATGCACAACCCTCTCTAGGGATTACAGAGAATGGTCTGAAAAAAAGAAAATGTCCAGTGAGCCAAAGTTCTGTTGGAGCAAACGCCTTGCTGATGCTAGAGGTCACAGGAGACAGGTCCAAGCTGATAGAAGACAACAGTAACCCAAACAACCACTCGTTACAACCAAGGTATGCAGAAGTGCATCTATGCACAACATGTCAAACCTTGAGGCAGATGGGCTACAGCAGCAGAAGACCACCGCTTCTGTAAGCTAAGAACAAGAAACTGAGGCTACAGAATTGCAAAAATTGCAAACTAGAAGATTTAAATGCTGCCTGGTCTGGTGAGTCTGCAACATTTAGATGGTAAAAAGGTTCAGTTTGGTGGTGTGATGGTGTCTGGGATATTTTCTTGGTACAATTTAGTACCAATTTACCATTGTGTCAACGTCACAGCCTACGGAAACTTTAGTTAGCCTAAAGTAAAGTCAAATGCCTTAAAAAGAACTGTTATGTATAGAGGTATGAAAGCATGGAATTTACTGCCGAATTACATTAAACTGATAACTGATTTAAGGAAATTTAAAAAATCATTGAAAGAACATTTATTAAATATAGAGGTAAAACACGATTAGGACTGTCTTCTTCACTTGCTGTGCTTTGTAGTTTGTTTTGATTAGTTTGGATTGTTTCTGTTTATGTATATGGGTATATATGTATATGTATATATGTATGTGTATATGTATATATGTATATGTATAGATTATGGGAGATGTTGTTTTAATGTCCACATAATTTTATTTCATTTGTAATTTTTTTATTTCATGTTTTGTTGTTGGACCCCAGGAAGAATAGCTGTAGCTTGCTACAGCTAATGGGGATCCTAAATAAACTAAACTAAACTAAACCTAAGTATTGTTGCAGACCATATCCATCGTTTTATGACCACAGTGCACCCATCTCCTTTTGCTTCTTCCAGGAGGATAACGTGGCGTGTCATAAAGTGTGAATCATTTCAGACTGATTTCTTAAACAAGTTCACTGCACTCAAATGGCCTCCACAGTCTCCAAATCTCAATGCAATAGAGCACTTAGAGAGATTCCCACCATCGATGTGCAGCCGACAAATCTGCAGCAACTGTGACATGCTACCATGTTAATATAGGCTAAAATCTAAGGAATGTTTCCAGTACTTTGTTGAATCTATGGCACAAAGGATTAAGGCAGATCTGGAGGCAAAATGGGGTCCAACACGGTACTAGCAAGGTGTACCTAATACCATGGATGGTAAGTTTATTAATCAATTTAATCAATGAATCAATTTCATTAGGATGCGCTGTAGAAAAAATTGAAATACACAATAAATACAAGCTAAATATAGAAGCTTTTAGTAATTATTAGGAGGAGCATTAAAACTTTAAGCCACATTGCAAAAAGAAACAAGCTGGTTTAATACTCAGACTATCTGCCTGAGTTGAGCCCTCAGTCAGCTGCCTGTCTGACCTTTATGTGGAAACTCTATCATGAAGGCCTGATTGGTGAAGGTGATGGCTGACCCTCTGTATGACCTTTCCTGTCCCCAGAAGGTAAGAAATCTGCCTTTTTGACTTTTGGGTTCTTTCTCATCTCTCTCACCAAGACCTAGCTTGAAAACTCTTAAGTTTAGTCCAGATCAGAGGAGGATCCTTGTGTTTCCTCTTCTTGCATACATTCAACTTCCCATATATCAAAACAATGGAGACCAAAGAGCTACATGCAATGAACAGGGCTGTAAACTAAGGATGCAAGTCATGGATTAATGAGTTAATTAAAAATTGACTGATCTTACTGATTAACGATTAAGTGATAAGCTGTAATAAATACAGACTGAAAAAAAAACAAATAGATGTTTTCTTAGTCATTATTACATTTATGTATAAGAAATAACAAAACAGGAGCCTATTAGGTAGCTAAATAAAACAAAGATGACTAAAATAGGTGAAACGCTTTGATTTGATTTTCAAGGTAAAGACTATTATCAAAAGACAGATTATGTCGCTCTAACATGCTGTCAGATTTTTTTTTTTTTACGGCACTAGTGGCTCGTTTTTTTGACAGTAGGCTGACAGAAAAGATGAGTATGAGAGAGGGAGAGAGACATGCAGGAAAGGACCACAGGTCGGATTCAAACTCGGGTCACCCGCGTTGAGGTCTAAGGCCACCGTATATGGGTCATGCATGCTAACCACTGCACCACCTGCACGCCCGAGAGCAGGGTTTCTTTCAGCATGATAATCTCAAAGATTTTAGATTAAAACTGATATATCTGATATTAGCTTTTTTGCTGAAATCAGACTGTTTCCCGATATGAATATCAAAAATTGGTTATCCCTAGTAATAACATCTGATCCATTTTCAGAGGAATTAGGATTTACCAGTGTTCAACTTTGTGTGTTATATCTAATGGTGTAAATACTGATGCACTAGTTAATTTTTAAATATTTCTATTTAAAAAAAAGTCTAAAACCAGATTTTCACGTTGTCAATATGGAACGTAAATTGTTTCATGGACAACTTGGATCAGCTTTATCCTGTAAGACAACATTTGAAAAACGTGAAGAAGCTATAAATGCTTTCAGGATGCAATATTTTTTTTAAAGAAAATAGTTCTTCACAAGTTTAATGCTGCTTCACAGAATTTTACAACACATACATTGTTTTTATAATTAGTAACACTAAAAAATGGTTTGTAGATCTCTCTTTAAGAGCTCAGCTAAAGTTACCTGAGGTGATTTTATTTTAATCAATGAAAACTTCACTCAGCATCCTAAATGCTGTGAGTGACGCATTCCTTTTTAAACTAAAACATTTAGAGAAAGAAAGTTAACATTTGAGAGAGAAAACAAAAAGTAACAAACTACAGTCAGAATTATTGCAGTACAGAGTTTAGGGAGATGTGGTTAGGATAGAGGATGAGACAAAGCCAGAATCAGGCAGGATGAAAGAGGAGGAGGAACGAAGCCGAAAAGCAGACTTAACCCCTGAGCTGCTGTGGTGTCTGCCTGCTCGGCTCAGAGTGCCATCCTCAGCAGTTTTCCCATCTATAATTACTGCCTGCTATCCATCATGCAGCCGCCAGTGGCTCACAGCGAAGCGCTCCGTAAACACACACACAGAAGCACTCAGGCACAAACACACACAGGGGAAAATCACAGAGCTAAGCACTTCAGCTAATAGAATAAATATTAATATCCCTTTTGTTTTCTATACCCTCATTTCCCCACGCACCATTTAAATGAAGTCTGACAGTGTGAAAAAGCATCTGTTTCACACTCAAAGATGAGCAGAGAGGGAGGGCAGAAGGGGGAGACAAAGGGAGTTAAAGCCTGGGAGGGGGAGTAGCAGAGGGGATGCTTGAGGAGGACAGGGGGATGCCGTGTGTGAGACAGAGACAGTGTGTGTTTGAAGGATGACTCGGCCATCTCGAGTCATGTGTAAGTGGCTTTCTGTTACCCATCAGGCCCTAAATATGTCACTCAGACACTACAGTCATGCCATTATGGACCAGCACCCCCTGCAGCTGTTGCTGCCAGTGTGTCCCTGCATGTGTGTTGGTTACCAGAACACTTGTTTACCTAAGTCTCATTTTAACTTCAGTGGAACCTAATATCTGTTACACAATAAACCTGTTTGTTCATCTGAAGAGCGCAGCCTAAAGGAAGAGCTCTGAAATTATATATCAAGTATTCAGAAGTGAGGGAAATGATCCAATGATCATTTGAAACAAGGAAAAAGCTGAAAACAAAACAAACTAATTTCACCTGACTAAAGAAAACAGTAAAGGTGCTGGTCCCTGTGCAACATTATAACTTCAGGCGAACTGGAATCACTTGATGAAGACTCTCAAATAAAAATGTTTTAATGTACAAAAATGTGTATGCACATTATCTAGCCAAGACTTGAGTAAATATCGTTTGAATCCTATAATCAAATTCTGCCAATCTAGTTCAGCTCTTATATGGCAGACCTGGATATCTTTGTGCCATTCAGTTGGCCATTGATTTTAATATTTAAAGTCTCACCAACAATTCAATTTGAGGTCATTTCAGTTTCTATGTGTGAAATTAAACTTAATAAGGTTTTTGATATTGTTTTGATTTACTGGGTTTTTACCTTCTCTCCTTCGGGACAGTAGCCTTTGACAAAGTCTTCGCACACTTCAGCTTTACGAGACACGTAGACATGGCTATAGGGACAGTCGCTGTTGTTACAGATTCCCTTCAAAAAGTATGAACACACTGGCATCTGTGGATACATGAAGACAAGAGGTAAGCAATAACAATCCAAGATAGAGTGACATAAATCACTTCATATTTCACCATGCTTTACAAAAGTACACATACTCTTTGAACATCTTTTGTGATGTTAGAGCATCCTTCTCTACAGTTCAAGCAGCAAGACTTTCGGGGAATGTCTCCACCAGCTTTCCAAATCAGAAGCTGCAGGCTTTGCCTCTCTTTATTTTTTTGACAAACCAGTTTCAGATCCGTGAGATTAGATGGGATATTACCTTTTTAAGTCTTGTCAAAATTCTCAATAGTATTTATGTCTCTACTATGACTGGGCAGTTCTAAAACATGGTTATGTCTGATCTGCAGCATCCCATTGTATTTTTTGGTTTTAGGTCATTGTCTAACTAAATACGTAGCCTCTACCAAGCATCAAGTCTTCAGGATTTCCGTGTATCAAGCTCTACCTAGTTATCATAAACTCAAGACAGACCCCGTCTCTAACTATAAAAACACAGGAGGCTCTGTTTTAAAAAGGGTTTAAAGTGTATTTTACAAAATCTGTTTAATCCACACATATTTGCACATATGCAGAAGAACTTTTACTCCGACCTTATTCTCCTTTATCTTTCTGTGTCCCCTTTGAGTAAACTTCAGACTTCTTATTGCTAGATATGAAGAGTACACAACTTATAACTGTCCTAAACACGACATCTCCATCATGAGCTGTAGATCTCTGTAGCTGCTCCAAAGATACCAGGGGCCTGTTGGCCACTTGTCAGATTAAAGGTCATCCTACCGAGGAGGGCAGTTTAAATGGACAGTCATCGTATGGTAGATGTACAGTTGTCATTTTTTACCTTTTGTATGACAGCTTTTCCAGAGCTCTGTGTGATGTCCTGCTCTAAGCTTCACAACTTTTTTCCATATGTGTCTATTTTACTACTTGATCTTCATGATGCTATTTGCCCACTATTGACCCCTTAAATACAGCTGAGGTTCCAAAAAACAACTGCATTTCTAGCTGGAATTGAATCATAGACAAAAAAAAAAGTGTTTATGTTTTATAGGACATCTAAAGATAATTATTTGCTCTTGAATTTGTCTGGAGGTATCCAATCATAAGGAGTTTAGGAAGTTAGGGGATTGGTGGCTAGTGGTTAGGGCACTGCTCCCCGGGCGCCGCACAGTGGCAGCCCACTGCTCCCCAAAGGGATGGGATAGATCACGGGTGTCAAAGTGGTTCCAGTAAGGGCCGTGTGGCTGCAGGTTTTCTTTCCAACCAAGCAATAGCTCACCAGACTCCAGTATCTCATCAAGTCATCATGTTCAGATTGGACTCACTTGATGGGATGACTGGAGTCTGGTGTGCTATTGCTTGCTTGGAAAGAAAACCTGCAGCCACACAGCCCTTTCTGGAACCACTTTGACACCCCTGGGTGAGATGCAGAAAGTTCATTTCGTTGCTTTGTACTTGTGACAATGTAATGACAATAAAGTTTAATTCTAATCTATTCTATTCTATTAAAGATATGTGCATTATTACAGGGGGACAGCTTGGTGTTCTTTTTTTTCCACAATAGGGCTTGCATGTGGGTTGGCTGGTGCATGATAGAAAAGCAAATTGTTTTGATCTTAATCTTTCAGAAGGAAAACTTGGCTGCAGTGATTTGCTAAACAGTTTCATGAAGACAGAAATGAAACATAAAGCAAATGACCGGAGTAATAGAGGGTGAAATTACATGACTTTGTAAACATACATGCGGTTCTGAAACCACACCACTGTCCAGTTCCCTACAGATGAGTCCCACGAGCTGGCCAATCTGTCACACTGAGCAGCTAAATAACCTTAATTGCAGCTGACAGGAGCAGCAGGAAAGTGGATGTGCGTCTTGACAGCATGTGTGTCTGTGTGCAGAGAGATGTCCTGTTTGACATGCAGGGGGAGGAGGGGGGCTAGCTCTAAATATACCACAGAGGGAGTTCAGTGCAGGGAGATGGGTGTGAGAGAGGCTCCACCTCACTGAGATGGGATCTCTTTTACCTAATTAACTGCTACAGAAATATTTATTCAGGCTGCAGCTCGGCCAGCCCTCATGATGTGTTTATGTGTCCTGGATGCGTGGACAGACCAGGGCCAGGGGTGGACAGGCGGGTAGCGTTCCCTGCTGTGGAGGGAGGGTGCGAGGGGAGTTGGCCGGAATGTATTTGGTTTCCAAGTATTTGTGGCAGCTGGAAGGGATCTTGGTAAGATAGTGTGGATATACAAGCCTGGATATCCACACTAGTGCCTGGATCAAGTTTGGAGAGGTGCAGGATGCATCACCCTAGAGCTGCCCCCACTCTTCCTATGCCCACATACAATTACCCCGTCTACTTTAGCCGTGTACAGCCCCACTTAGGGGCTCTGCATGAAATAAGAGTGGGTGTATCCCCTGGAGGGAGGGACGGGCATTTGCAGGTGAGGGGGGCATTGCAAACAGACAGCTGGGCTCTCAGCACATACAGACAGCGGGCTGACAACCAACACAGGTGCTCTGCATTGTGGGACTGTGTGTGAGACGGGTGAGGCCAGCAGGGCACCTGTTGTGGGTTGTTTGTCAACACAAAGAAAGCTTTCACTTTCTTGGAGTAGCTACACTTTCTCAAAGAGGCCAAATAAACATGCTTATGCTTTTAAAAATCAGAAGACAATGATATAATTACTATTTGATTATAAAACAAATGTAATAAATAAGGTGATACTAAATAAGCAGATAACAAAAAAACAACAAAATTATTTAATTCTCTAACTTCTAACATGAATTTTTAGGAATGTTGGACCCTTGTTTTATTCCAACATTGCCTCAGTTCACTTCTGTTTGCAGAGATTTTTTTTTTGTACTGAACTCCAAAGTTCCAACCACATTTTTTTTTTGTGAGGTCTAAACTTTGACGGTACAGTTTCAAAAGCTAGATTCTCTTCTTTTTCTGATTACTTAGGTTTAAGGAGGAGTTTATAGTCCACTTAATGACTCCAGGGTGCCCAGGTCCCATGGCTGCAAAACCTAAACAATCACAACCTACAGAGCTTACTAAGCATTGTAGGACATGTGATGAGACCTGTGCAAATGCATACTGGTAAAAAAAAAAGTATCCCCCAATTAATAAATGTTTTGCATGAGATAAAATTAATTGTTACCATGCAACAACATAGCACATTAAAAATATGTATGCATCAAAATCCAAACAGCTTTGATGATGTTCTCTCTTCAGCTCCAATCCACCACTGGGTCATGCCTTCCTAACTCCACACCGTCCATGGAAACAGGAGCTGTGCCAAGAGACCAAATACGATCCACGACGACTGTACCCAGCAGCTTGTCATCTTACACCGTCACAGTGCACCAAAGCCTGGCCTTCGCCATGAAAAGCTATAAAACACTAAGTTGTCTGACATGTAGGCCATGATGTGGGTGTATATATTACCTTCTCTTTGGCAACCTTGTGGGAGAATGGGCATGTCCCATCCGCCTGCTTGCATGTCCCTCTCAGAAACCTGCAGGAGGGAAACCATAAAATGAAGTTTAAAAAAGGAAAGTTGTTATGTAATGAGGCAGAAGGTGTTGACTTTCCCAATCTTTTACTCAAAATAAATCAGTAACTTGTTGATTTAAAAAGAAACTATCCCACAAAACTTTAGGCAGCTAAGTCAGTTGCCTAGAGTCATTGACTTTTCAGCAAGTTCTCCTCCTCCTGAGTAATCAAACGTGGCTTCAATGTGCATAAGATTTTTTGTACCTACCTGCGCTTAACAAATCGCACATGTGATTTAAATTAACACCTAAAAAGGAGAATTAAACATTCAACTAGGGGATTTGGATTGAGCTCAATTGGTGTCAATTCTTTCCTTCACTTCCTATAAACTTATAATTTACCTAGCAAATAAAAAAAAAATAAGTAAAGCATATACTTTCAAAGGAGGAGATAAACAAAGGCAGCATTTGGCTCTATTCAGTCAGTCTTGAACCTTATTGTTACCTGGTGCAGACAGCCACTTTGTCCGGATCATGTATGAAGGGACAGCTTGTGCCACGGTTGCACTTGCCAAAGCGGTTGTAATACATGCAGAACTGCTTTTGGTCCTTTTTCTGACGAGCGTGTCTGATGATGGCAATGCTTCGCTGGACTGCACGACTGGAGACATTGACAAACCACAAAAATCCATAATAAACTCAACGTTTGAGGTAATGTGAGACGAGAACATTTATCAACCGAGTTTCTGTTTCAGCTTTGAACCATGTGAGTGTTTCTGGGTACCAGTGTTCCCCATATACTAATTTTAAAGGATTACTTCTGGACTCATAGTCCTGAGCCGGTGGTGATGAAAGGCAGTTAATACTGTGGGAGAGTGAGGAGGATCAGATGCAAACATGTTGGCTGGATTTAGTTTCATGAAGTTGCCGTCATTTTAAGAGCACTAACAGAATGACCCACATTTAACTCTTGATCATTTCAAACTTTGATTAACTTTCTCAAGCTGGTGCTGTGTAGGTAAAACAACAGGCTAAACAAGTGCTGTGGGCGTTACCTGGCTAAATGACGGGTCAGGGCAGGAGACGTGTGTGGACTGGAGGACTTTCCTGAGGAGGAAGGGAAGAAACAGATTTATGTTTCCACACAAAACACAAGAAACTATTTAGCACAAGAGATATGCAAATCTGTATTGCTCTCCTTTCTTTCTTTTCTTTGTAAAGCCAATTTGTTTTTTTCTCTCTACTACCAACAGTTCTTAAAATGGGAATATTATTATGCCATTTCCAAATGTAAACTCTCATTAGTCCATAGAGGATCATTTCCAAGGCCAATCACAGAGATGTAATAATGTAGCCAATGCAACAAGGACTTCTTGAGTTTTCAAAGTTTTAAAATGTAAAACCTTCACAACAGAAACCCCAGAAGGTTTCAGTAAAAAGAATTAGGTAAAAATCTTCAAATCTGATCATAAACAAATGTACTTAAAACTAAGAATCTGAAGTGTAATGACCGGCACTTTATCACAATACTAGCTTAACACCAGCTATGGAGGATGGTCAGCAGAGGAAACAATGTAGACAGTATGGAAAGCATGGTCTTATATGTTATTTTTGCAATTGTCTAGTTTTCCAAAAGTTTTAGTCTTCAATATTTGTAAAACTAGATCATTGAAATGAAATAAAAGCTTGAAATAATACTGGTTGAATTCTTCAGTTACTTACTGGGAAAAAAACAAACAAACAAAATAATACGAAAAATTATGGTATAATACGAAATAGAACATTTTCACAAGCACCATGAAGAAAGTTAAAGGATATCCAAAAGAAAAGTTTCCATCAAATAAATTCCTATATAATGTTTTGGTTAGAGTTGATTTCTTCTGGCTGTCATCTCAAACCCCATCACCTTGCAGGAGACCAAAACATCTCAGTTGGTTAGCCTGGCCAACAATGACCCTGACGACTCCCTTTTCAGAGGAATAGGCCAGTATCAGGTATTGCAGGCCAACAAAGAGCCCAATGACTCCCCATTACTAAGTGGTGGACTTGCAAATTGGACCTTTTTGGTTCAATTTGCAAGTTTTGTAAGCCATAACAAGGCTTTTACTTGTGCCACTCTATAAGCCTGGAACTCAAACATTCCTCCAGACAATTTGAATTGAGAAAGCTTCCTGGATTGAAAGCCAAACGTCTTCAAACTTGGGAAAAAAAGTCCAGTGTTTTTTTTTTTTTTTTTTACTTTTTTAACTTTGTTGGAATGACTATGACATGGATGGCTGAGAATCTTTACCACGTTCTATCTCAATAAATACTGAGAAATGTTTTATTTATTTAAACATAACCCTTAGAAGCCAACATACGAGCAATTTAAGCATTAAGAGATTATCCAGAATTTACAGCCTGACAGTCACACCAGTTCATAAACTCCTTCAAACTAACATACTGTATGTTGTGAAATATTAGCGCAATATTATAGGCAAGTACATCCACATGGTGACAAAACATGGCTGCATATCTGGATGACTTAAAAAGAAAAGTTCTTATTTATTTGTTTTATTTAAATACAATCTTCTGCAGTTTGAACCTCCACATGTCAGGTTCTCTTAAAGAAAGCGACCATCATTTAGTCACATCAGATGGAGCCTGCAATGTGTGTTTGTGTGTGTGCAGACCCATGCAATAAGAACTTGATAGGTGACGGGTTATTTATACTGTGGTGGATTGACACATTGGAGCCAAGACGAATCGTGATGTCCCTTTTAGTCTGAAGACATCATAAATACCAGGCAGAGAAGAAGGTGAGGGTTGGTGGAGGCTATGAAAGGACGGAGAAGGTGAGGATGTAAAGGCTAAAGTTTATCTTAATCATGCTTCTAAATTTGGGACCTTATAGCTCACAACGCTGCCCTCAAGGATGGGCACTTTAGGGTTGCTCAGGCACAGCATGGGGAGATTTCAAGACGTGAAACTGCAGCTCCTGTTGCACAGAAACCTGATGCATGTTCTGGAGGATGCAGGAACAGAGCGGGAGAGCACGTTGGGATGCCGGTCACGAGTTGAACAGCACACGGCTCTTCAATTTCACCTGAAGGTTTAGTAGAACAAGAATGTGGAAAAGAGAGGCAGGGAAGTGAAGTGGGGAAAGGCCGATCCGGGCTTTAATCTAAACCATGCACTTCTCCGGGCCCTCCCCCTCGCCGCTCTGACAGATGACAACTTTATTATTTCAGATGGCAAATACAGCCTGCTCACATAAGTCTGTTATAAAGTATGTGGACGAAGCTCCAGCCACAAACATGAATAAACACGGCCATACCACCTCAGGGTGTACAAACACTTACAGTCCTGGACCTCTGACAGCGGTCCAGAACAGAACTGGCTGTAAAACCCAAACAGGCTGTGATTTTTAATACCAACTGAAATGTGTCCAAATCACTATATTAAAGCTAAAAGAACTACAAACAGATGCTGAACCAGCAGCAAAGATTTGTGGTCCAGTTCACTTTTTCTTTTCTCTGACTGCTCCTGATTCACAGCTAAAACTGCAGCAATCGTTAATATACAAAGCAACAATGTTCTACTTAACTCTTACACTTTAAGTCTGCTTTGTTACCCACAAAGTCTGGCTATGATCATCTGAAATATTTGTTTGCGAGAGGGGTGGTTTAAAAAAAACAAAAAGTGGGTACAGACCTTCGTTCCACTGACTGGTTTCAAAGCAGAGGCCATGAATCATTGCTCACTATCTTGGGTACGGCTGTTCAAATGCTTCCTTTTTTTAAATTTTTTTTTTAATTATTATTACTTTTATTTTATTTTATTTATTTACTTATTTTTTTTATTAAATGCTTCCTCACACACAAACAGCAAACTGGTCGGTCTCACGGCAGCAACTCGGGGCTATTAGGTGTCCAGATGTGATCAACACAACTTTTTGAAATTTAAACCAAGCATCAGAATGAGAGGAAAATGCAATTGAACAGACTTTGAATGAGGTGCAGTTGATATTTCCAAATCAGCCATGGTTTCAAAATAGGGAAAGTCTATTATTTACTAATAACACAATATAATGGATTCGGAAATACATTAGAAAGAAGAGAAGACGTCGACATGACGGCTCCTGTGTGGATAAGAATTTTTCACTAATGTCAGACAACAGGTTTGTTCAAGATGTCAGAAAAGCAAAGAGTACATAAAAAATGTAAGAAACAAGGTATTAGAAGTAGAATATCATCTCTAAATGATGTCAAACCTCTATGCTGATGGACTAAAACACTTTGGGCCCCTTAGGACCAATAAAGCTCAATTTAAACATCAGATCTTTATCATCATGTCACAAATATCTATTAATCTCAGATGAATCTCTTTTGACAGTGAGCATACTGTACATCAGTGGCCCCCATAGTAATCATACCTCAATCAATATAGAAGCACTGAGATGTGGTGGAAAAAGGAGACTCCCATCATGCATTTCTCTGAGGCTAATATGTCAATCTAAGATACAGTCAAACCTGTTTAAAAAAAGTCTCTCAATCGCTAAAAAATCTATACAGCAACATCTGTGAAGAGTTTCAGTATGTTTGAAACCCGTAGAAGACGAGTTGATTTAATAAAAAAACAGAAGAAAAGAATATAGACTGCTTAATATATCAAGTATTTTTTGACACAAGACTTGGAAAAAAAACATCTCAACACTTGTGTGAGACTCTTGACCACCTGTACCTCTCCGGTCAATCGATGTGTGTGGCGCCACTGTTCGGGAAAGCTTATTGGCAGACACCCGGTACAGAGAGCCTCGGATCCAGCACATTTCGGGCCCAGTCCAGCGTCGCCCGGATGCCTGGTGCCTGTCGTGGGGACCTCGGAGGCGGTTTTGGAGGAAAGTCCTGAAAGAAAGAAGTAGAAAAACAAAAAGTGTTGCTTTTATATGATTTAGTTTAAGGGAAGAAGTGTGTAGTGTTCAGATCTGACTTTTTTTTTTTTTTAAATGTTAAAGAACGTTATCCGCTCATCGCCCTGTTAATTCCACACCTCTTTGTGCCCTCCCACCCCCACCTCCAGCTCTTCCACAATACCTCCCCTCTTTACTTTATGTTTCCCATCCTGTAGTCCCCCCTCCCCTCCTTTTCCTCCCATGTCACAGCACTCTGTTAAATTGCTCCTCTAATGGAAAGGACGGCAGTGTGGAAATGGAGAGAATTGAAAAGAGGAGAGGAGGAAATCAATGAGATAATAGGCAGGGCAGGGGGCCAGAGCAGCGAGGTTGGCCCCTACGCTGGAGTGTACAGACCTCACACACACACTCCAGCTACAGTATGTACAATGCACACAATCACAGCTCTCTGCATCCAGGATTCAGTCAGTGGGCTGCTACATGTGTGCGGGCGGTTGGACATGAGAAGCTGCTGGGTGGTGGTGGGGCGGTGCAGGGGTTATAGCGATAAATTGCGCTGTCCTGTCACTTCTATTTGGGGTGGATTGGGGCTGGTGTGCAGGGCGCCGTTGGTGGTAATTTGCTGCCGTATTTCAGATGGGCTGGAAATGGGTTTAGAGCGAGAGTTCACGCCTCCCATTACGGAGAAAAGAGAGGGTTACCCCAAACGCACGTCGTGCACAAAACAACCTGCATGGACGGCTGACACGTGCACAGCTGCTGCAATGCTGCAAATAACAGAGAAAAAAGTAAATATCAACTCTCAGCTGCGTTCACGTCCATGAAGCACCTGAGTGTGAGCCATAACTCAGCAGCACAGACACTCAGCTTCACTGCTACAAGATCAGTGGCTGCCCTACACGGGGCAACTGCAGCCAGGGGAGCCATAATCAGGGCTAATGTTGAAGCTCTTACTGCCACCTAGGGAGGCTTAAACAAGAACAGGGTGGCCCCCACAACCACAGCGGAGGTTAATGAGGATATGACATGAGTAGTTAACACAGGCAGCAGTTAACCCTGACACCAGGCTCTAGTCAGGGGGTGACCAGGGGTGTTAATGCTCAGTGTGTTCCAAATGTTTATTCACCAACTTTGAACATCAGAGTGAGAAAAACACTAATCTCACTGCAATCTGTGGTGGATTTACGCTTCATGTCATTTCAGAAGAATCTTTTCCCATTCCTCATCGAATCATCTCTGATGCAACTTCTGAAACAGGAATGTGATATTTGGACTACATGACACACGTCTCCCCTGCTTCCTGTTTACATCACTCACCCTGAACCTGCAACGGCTATGTAACCATGAATATAGAAGAGTAAAACGCTGGGTTGGATGGATGGATGAAACCTTTGACATAAGGACATTTCCTACAGAAAACATTTACTACAGTCAGTATAAAAGATAAAAGAGACGGAACATACTGTACAACAGCCGTATACTTAGCAACATATCTAGATAAATCTGTAGATTATTTATTTTGGAATAATAATCGGATAACCAATGGTTTCCAAAATAATTTTTACGAAAGTAAACCAGGTGAAACTAAAACTTTTCCATTTGACGAGTTCTGGATTTAGCATATTGATAGAGAATGCAAATTTTTTTTATACCTTTTTATTTTTTACAACCTTGTTATAACTACTGCTCTAAGTGAGTTTATCTGTCAATTAAAAGCATGTTTCTATTTTCCAGTTAACAATTAATCAATATCTAAATTAACTGACGATTTTTTCAATAATTGATTAATAATTACTAATCCGATCAATCATTTAAACCCTAAATATATCACAGAGCATTACTTTTAGCCTAATTAGTATATGGCTCTATAATTACAAAAAAATACTCCGTATTAGTACATAAGAAAATACTAGACCATATATACAAATCCAATTTTTTTGTTTTTCCTGAAGATGTTATGCGATATATACTTACATATGTGTATATATATATATATATATATATATATATATATATATATATATATATATATATATATATATATATATATATATATATATATATATATATATATATATATATATATACACATATGTAAGTGGTGGGCATAGAAATTTTTTTTTACCTAGACTGATCTAACTGGAATTAATCTAGATTAAAATTGCTAATTTCAATTCTGCCAAAGGGCTCAGTGAATCAGAATTAAAATTACTTTATTCATCCCTTGCAGGAAATTCTTTTTTTTTTGCAGTGCAACTGTTTACAGAAGAGAAAAAAATAAGACTGTAAGTACAAATAAGATGTAAGAATAAAATAAGAGAAGGGTAAGATTAAAATAAGATGAGGATGATATGTGTGTGCTACCTAAATAATAAGTAAAAGTAAAAAGTATTTGAACAGGTTCCTTAAGCCAGGTGGCGCATTAGACTAGGGGCTCATCTCCTGTTTCCAAAATGAATCACAAACTGCTAGAGAAAGCTTTTCTACTATGATAACTGGCGATGAAAATGAATAATATTCAATAAGATGTATTTGTGTTTAATAACTGTTTATTCAGATAAACATGAATTGTGAGCTGTAGGTCTATATAACAGGTCATATATCAGCATTCCTTACATTATGCTCATAGCTGTCTAAACTGTTATATGTTTCGATTGGCAGTAACAGAAATAAAGAGCTAGTGTTCTAGTGTCGGCACGTCTCTGCATTTCGCTAACGGCCAGTTAGAATTGGAAACTGTTGAAGGATTACATGTAAACCATTGTCAATGATAAAAAGCAGGGATTTGATTTGATACAACACCCTGTTTTCATCTCAGCTCCAAATATAACAATGATCTTAAAATGCTGCTCGAATACAGAACTTTAAAACAGCAATTTAAGAGTGAGTCCAAAGTTTGAAACCTCCAGCTATGCAAGGGTAAGGCAGCTGCTCCAAGGACAGCAAGAGGCAGAGTCCCTTCATTGTGTCCTCGGTCACCCTCTAGGCCACCTCCTGGTGGGACATGCCTGGAACAGCTCCCCAGGGAGGCGACCAGGGAGAATCCGAAAAAGATGCCTGCACCACCTTAGCTGACTCTTGTCAATGTGGAGGAGAAGATGCTCTAATCCAAGCCTCTCCTGGATGACCAAGCTCCTTTTGAAGGGCGAGCCATATGAAGAAGCTCATTTCAGCTGCTTGTGTCCGGGATTTCATTCTTTCTGTCACAATCCAGATTTCATGAGCATCGGTGAAGTTAGGAACCTAGACCGACCAGAAAATTGAGAGCTTGGCCTTTTGGCTCAGCTCTTTCTTTACCACAGCAGACAGTGTCCACATTATAGCTGCAGCCGCACTGATATGTCTATTGATGCCCTGACTCCTGAACAGGACCCCAAGATACTTGAACTCCTCCACTGGAGGCAGGAACTTTTATCCACCTAAAGGGGACAAAGCCACCTTTATCCAATCGAGAACCATGGCCTCAGAGTTGATTCTCATCCTGGCTGTTTCACACTGTGCAGCAAACCAGTGCATTCTGTAGGTCTTGGCAGAAGGGAGCCGACAGAAAAACCAGATTCTGAGTTGTGCTTCTAAAATGTTTATGTTCATGTATCATTGACAAAAGATTTTCAATAGAAAAAAATATCATTTTGTATGATCAAACTAATAAAATAATTTGTATTTAATAATTCTATATGTTAGTGTAAGGGTCTTCAATATTAACTCCTTTAAACTCACTGTCCTGCATGTCTTAGCTATGTCTCTGGTCCATGACACCTGAATTAAATGACTGCATTACCTCTTCAGCCACCGTCTAAAACCAGGAAGGAAAAAAAAACTAGAACATGAAGGATAGTCAGTACTGAAAATCAGGATTAAAGCCCACTAACTTAGACGATATTTCTAGTAACAAGCTATTACTTAATAGGGTCTCTAAAGTGTTAGTGATGCTTCACAGGTTTGTTGCCCTGTCAAGTTTGTACACCTCACAAACTTTCGGTCTCTTAAAAAAACAGGACGATGATGTCTGGAGGTCAAAGCAAAAGAACCTAAACTCATAATAAATGAACAGTGAGTAAAACCCGAGGAAAATAAAGGAAGAAACAGAGGACGGAGGAAAGGGCGTAAAAAGAGTTCCCTTGAGACAAGTGTGCTTGTGTGGGCAGGTGTGAGTGCGCTCAGCTCCGATCGGCGCGATGCACAAATAAAGGAGAGCACGATTCAGCACTACGGGAGCTGTTGATGAATGATCCGACTTTTGTTTTAGTGACAGGGAAGAATTTGGAGGGTCGCGCGACTGCTCAGAATAATGCTGCCCTTGTCTATTTGTCTGCAACCCAAGCATTAGTGAGCTCATATCGGGAAACAGTTACCCTTGAAAGAAAGCGCAGCAAAAACAGTCACCTGGATAACTCTGAATACAAGGACTCTTCTCCAGGTGCTTATCGGATACCAAGAGATGAACCTACCAGGAGGAGACTGGTGAAAGGAGCAGCTGAGGGAATAGCAGGGGGACTGTAAGCGACAGACAAATGACTAATGTGATAAGTAATGAGTAAATGAGTGAAGTGGGGGATAAAAGAGGATGTACAGGAATGAGAATGCGGGAAAAGGAGGAGAGAAGTGAAGAAGAGGGAGCGCGGCTTCACTTTATTGCCCAGTCTCTTACATCCTGTGCTGATCGATACTGAAGCACTAAAGAAGATGAGCGTTGAGGCCAAGCATGTGTGTACGGAACAGATGTACAGCATACACACTCAAACAGACTACACTTATGGAACCGTTGCCATGTCGCTAGCTTTGACGTATACATAAATGAAATGATGTGGAAACTGTGTGATAAAAATTTCCCAAAAGAAGCCAGAGAAAAAAAGCCAGAAGAAAAAAAAAATCTCTAGGAGTATTTAAGACAGCAGTGGATTTAAACAGGGAGGCTATGAGAGGGATGAGGAGACGCCTGGCTTGTAATTTATCCTCCAGAGTGCATGCTTTACGGCTTTCTTAATTCAA